TCTCATTTGTAAGTGACTTAAGATACAATGTATCAAAATAATGTATATCACAGAACAGAGGTCAATGTACTCATTGATCCTCCAGCTGGAGATCCTCATTAGTTCCAGCAGGCATTTTGTATCAGTTATCTATTGCTGTGTAACAAACCACTCCAAAATTTAGAGCCTTAAAGCACAGGATTCTACAACCTGGCAGGGTTCTGTCAGGACAGCTCACTGCTGCTCCACATGGTGTGGACTGGGGTCACTGGTGATAGCACAAACCAGGAGCTTGGCTGGGGCAGGAGCAAAATGGCTTCTTTACTCACTTACCTGGCACCTCTTTTGTAAGGACAGAAACATTTGGCAGCTGGCCAGGTGTCTCTCCTGTCTGCATGGTCTTTCCAGCAGAGTGGCCCATCTAACGTGGGAACAGAGCTCCAAGGACACAAAAGAACTTGCCAGGCTCTAGGTCTGGGACTGGCACCAGAGCCACTTCTGCTGCTTTCTTCAGGTCGAGAAACTCTCTATTCAGCTGTCATGAAAAAGGGACATACACTTCACCTCTTGATAGGAGGAGGAGCCAGATACACACTTGTGTTTGTCATTTATCCAGGAAAATAATGATATAAAATTAATTACTCTTCCTGGTCTGCCTTGACAACCAGCACTGAATGTTGGCAAATCCTGAGTCAGGAAGACAGAGTTGCTGCCACCTGCCCAACCAGAAACAGGTGCTACTAACAGGCCCAGCAGCATGTCTGGGGTGCTGGAAGGGGGACAGGGGAAACAAATTATCTCTCCTGAGTGCTTTTCCAAAAGTGACACCTTTACAAACAATTTTAACATAATATGTTAACATAATGGTTGTTAGAGTTGGGATAAAAAGTCAGAAGAAGCAGTTTAAAAAGCAGCACCTTCAAATGTGTAGATAATATGCTCAAAGGTAGACCGTTTATGCCTGTTCCTACCTTGAGAACAACAGTGCAGACTTTTCTCCCCAACCCCAGCACCCAGACAGACACAAGGACTTCCTTGCTGTTAGAGCCTACTATGCCCTTCACAGGAGCACAGAGTCCTGGAGGCAGCTTTCTCCATATAGCTTCTGCTGCTAGGAAGTCACCTGTATGTGTGTGACTGTGAGTGTGGGCATGCATGTAAGTGTGTATAAGTATGCTGATGTGTGTAGGAGTGCGCAAAATGAGTGAGTCTGCGCGACTGTGTGTGTGTATACTTAAGTGTGAACATGTGTTTGTGTGTGTGAAGACAAGTGTATTTCTGAGTATGGAAACATAGCATGTAAGTGGGAACAAACTCAAAACTGGGCAAAGGAAAGAGAGCACATGGCATTCCGATTCAAGTTATGTGGTTAGGATCTGCCAGCACTTGGAAAATTTCCTGACTCCAAAGCCTGCAGCTCTATCTGCCCATTGCTGATGGTGGCACATTGGAATAAATGGTATGATCCTGCCAGCCCAGAACTGATGGAGTCTGGGCCAAGTTGGAGGGAGAGAAGGCACTAAAGGTCCAGGGATTAGGGATGCTGATGGGTGGATGGCAGGGGTCTCTGAAGCAAGCCCTGGGCTCTGGAGCCCAGCCTGCTGCCCCTTCATCCTGGCAATGGGCAGTGGGCATCCTTGAAGAGGGGAGCATAGTAGTGCATTATACACTGGCTTTTTTTTTTTTTTTACAGGCCAAAACCCTAGTTTATTTTAGCATCAGCAGTATCTTAGCCATCAAAAAAATAAACTCTACCAAGGGTGACCAAGTCTCTACAGCAAGGCTAAGGGCTTGCCAGGCCACGAACATCAGGGGTGCATGGTGGGCACTGCCCAGGCAATAAATTAGGAAGCAGCTGGGCTTGTGTCGGGTGTGGGCTGGGCTTCACTTCTGGGCAGGCATGAGGTCGTCGATGGCTTGGCCCTGTTCCAGCCGCTGCTCCATCTCGTTGAGCAGCTTCACTCCGTCCACCACCATCTGCACCAGCTCCACCTTGAGAAGCCCAGGTGGTCATTGTTGGAGACGTCGAAGACCCCGCCCACCGCAGCTGTGTCCACACCGCCTGTGCCTCGCTTCTGAAGTTGCAGCCGCTTAAGCACCTCCGAGAATTTCTCGTGCTTGCCCAGGTGGGGCAGCTTAATATGCACACCTGCCCCGCAGCCCTGTGCCCAAGTTGGATGGGCAGGTGAGGATGTAGCCCAGGTGAGGGTTCCACGTGAACTCATAGTTCTTAGACTTGAAGAGAGTTTCAATCTGGGTGAGGCCGGGGCAGAAGCGGGTGAACACTTCCTTCATGTTGCCCCCCTTCTGCATGGAGATGACCCGAAGGTGGTCCTCCTCGTTGACCCACACCAGGACGGTCTTATTGTCATCGTGCCAGATGCCGTGGGCGTCCGGCCAGTCGCGGGCCATGCCAGAGGCCAGCAGCAGGGTCGACACGGGCTTGTCAAAGAGGAAGTGGTCGTCGCTGAGCTGCTGCTGTTCCGCCTCCGTCATGCTCTTGAGCGCGTAGTATCTGCCAGCCAGGTCGCTGTCCAGGCTGGACAGGGTTTCCACCGCGAGCTTCTTGATGGCACGGCGCTTCCTGCGGCTGCAGTGCGCGGGGAGGCAGAAGCCGCGGATGCTGCGGCCCGTGCGCACCCGCGAGCTCAGCACGTAGTTGGGGTCCAGGTCGTCGCCGCCCTGCAGGTTGTCGGGATTGAGGTCGGTCTTGTGCTAATCGCTGGGCTTGTAGCAGCCATGCCTGTCCTCGATGATTGGGTCGAAGAGATCCTTGACCACTTCGTAGGACTCCTCGTCGCCCGCCACGCAGCCCACGGTCACGATGTATGGGTGGCCCGGGTTGTCCACCCCTGTCTGGATGGCGTCGTCCCACATGAAGCCGCTCGGCGCGCTCTTGGCGCGCAGCTCCGCGTACAGCTCGGGGGTCAGCACCTTGGCCATGTGGTTGTTGTGGCTGCTCGGGTCGGGGAACTAGTCCTCCGCCGGGAAGCGCAGCTTCAGCGTGTTGTGGCTGTTGGAGAACCGCAAGGCGGCTGCAGGAGTCCATGCGGGGGCGGGGTCGCTCAGTCGGTCGGCAGCTCCGGGCTCGGCGCAGGCGAACTGGCATTTTTCTTCCAGCGCTTTTGAGGTGGTCCCTACCGACCTTGTATTTTTATTCCTCCCAGTCTCAAATCTACCCACCACCTTGTCCTGATTTCTGAGCAGCTGAACCCCACAGACCTCTGAGCTGGAAGGAGTAATGTGATGTACATACCAGTCTTTTTTTTTTTTTTTTTTAAATTCATTCCAGTCTTCTCTTTTTAAACCAACATCTCAGTAGCAGTATGAGATTTTGTCTCTGAAGCCTGGAGAAATAGTTTCTCTCTCTCTCTCTTTTTTTTTTTTTTTCTTTTTTTTGAGACAGAGTCTCACTCTGTCTCCCAGCCTGGAGTGCAGTGGCACGATCTCAGTTCATTGCAACCCCCGCCTCCCAAGTTCAAGCGATTCTTCTGCCTCAGCCTCCTGAGTAGCTGGGATTACAGGAGAGCGCCACCACGCCTGACTAATTTTTGTATTTTTAGTAGAGATGAGGTTTCAACATGTTGGTCAGGTTGGTCTCGAACTTTTAACCTTGTGGTCTGCCTGCCTTGGGCTCTCAAAGTGCTACAGGCGTGTGCCACCAAGCCGAGCCCTTTTCCCTTTTTTTATTTGTGCTGTTAATGCTCCCTCATCTCCTTTCCACTTTTAAATACTGTGTGTTTGTGTTTGTAGAGATGGGGTTTCACTATGTTGCCTAAGGAGGTCTTTTGGCCTCAAGCAATCCTTCTGCCTTTACCTCCTGAGTAGTTGGGATTACAGACGCACGCCAGTGCAGCCAGTTATATGGGTTTGTTTTAAGTTTGTGGTTTTATTGGTGGGTTTTTATTAAAGCAGATAACAACAAAAGAGTAGCTATGGAGCACTTTCAAATATGCATCTTATTATGGTACAGGGCTATCTGTGAGTAGCAGTGTTATGGCTGGTTTGTTAATATTAGTAGTTATTGTTAACATTTAAGTATTTGTGCCAAGTACTAGTCTAAATGCTACATGCGTGTTGTTCTGATTTAACATATGAGACAAACATGGCCCAGATATGGTAGGCAACTTTTCACAGTTACACAGAGAGTAAAATAGTGTGACTTTCTGCCACCATAAGCACTCAAGCTCTGGATCAATATGCTCTGCTGTATTAGTTACAACTGTGACCCAATGATCTCAGGTGTCAATAGCCCGGGAATATCAACTGACATTGACATTGCTATTCACCTTTTATTGGCTCTAAGCCCCTGCCTTCTCAAGTCCTGTCTTTTTCAGCATCAGCTTTTTTGATTATTTCTAGGAACTTCCACCCAGGATGCATTCTTCTCTCCACAAATCAGCTCTGTTTGTTGCTCTCTACTGGGACAGCAGAAATTAAATACTTACTTTCTGCATCACATCTAAATGGCCCGCTTTTCAATGTAAACATTCACATGGCACAGGGAGCTAAAATGACTGCTGTCAACATGTAGCCATAGCCATCTCCTTGCTTGAACCTTATGATAACTCTTGTGGGTTGTAGCACAAATGTTACTATCAACTCCTCTTAGCTTCAGCTTGTAAATGAGGAAAGTCTCCGTGAGACTATTTTTCTGGGAAATCATGGGTGGTAAAGAGTGGAGTTAGATCCCAAATGGCCATATACAATGCTTCCTTGTTGATCCCTGGACACTCTCACTTGTACTTATTGCTACAAGCGTCCATAGCTTTGATGCTTATTTTTGTGACAAAAACATATATCTGTAAGGTAGAGAGAACTAACCCAGAGAAATTAAGAAACACGTCTAAATAAACCTTTATTCAAAGAGAAAATAAGATAGACATTACAACAACGTACAAATTGACAGAAAGGAGAACATACGGAATACAGCTAAAAGTATACTGAGTGGAAAAGACATTGTTCTTAGGTGCCTTCATAGTAAAAAAGGATTGAAAACAAATCACCTGTTTTTGACACAGGAAAACTGGAAAAAGACTACAAAATAAACAGGAAGGACTTAAAGTTTATGAAATAGAAAAAGATAAAGGATCAATATGACTAAAAGCTAGTTTTTCAAAAGGACTGGTAAGATAAAAAGCTCCTGGTGTGTGTCTGTGTGCATAAGTTCATGCATGTGTGTGTGTGTGTGTGTGCGCGTGCGCGCATGTGCGTGTTGGAGGGGGGGACATGGAGGTAGTAGATATTAGGAAGGGATTGTACCAAAAGTATAGAGCAATATTTTAAAGTGTAAGAGAACGTTGCAATTAGATTAAAAGTAATTCATTTTAAAATGTGCAGAAAACTGGCAATTTTCTGTCAAAATGTAACTGCCCAGTGGGTTCACCTTGCCTGCTGCCTAGACAGAGTCAATTTATCAAGACAGGGGAATTGCAATGAAGAAAGAATAATTCAGGCAAAGCCAGCTGTGAGGGAGGTCAGAGTTTTATTATTACTCAAATCAGTCTCCTCGAGCATTCAGGGATCAGAGTTTTTCATGATAATTTGGCAGGCAGGGACTTGGGAAGTGGGGAGTACTAATTGGTCAGGTTAGAGATGGAATCATAGGGGGTAGAAGTGAAGTTTTTCTTAATGTCTTTTGTTCCTGGGTGCAAAGGCAGAACTGGTTGAGCCAGATTACTGGTCTGGGTGGTGTCAGCAGATCCATCCAGTGCAGGGTCTGCAAAATATCTCAAGTAATGATCTTAGGTTACCCCCAGGAGCACTTTGGGGAATTTCAGACTCTTGGGGACAGAGGTTGCATACTGCCACTTCTGTCCATATTTTATCTGCCAAAGCAAGTCTCATGGCCAAATCCAACTTTAATGGGGCAAGTATGGACCCTTCTTCCATGGAGGTGATGGTGGAGGAGGAAATATGTGCTGAACAGTGATCCAATCTGCATTTCCCAGGATTACCCAGCTAGGCAAATTTAGGTGGCTCTGAGATTGGGACCACACAGTTGGGATCCACAGTTAAAAGTCCTCACCACCCTCGTATACTGTACCTTGATTACATTTTATGCTAATTCATAGGCACTCACGCACACCGTCTCTCTATGTATTAGCCATACTGGTAGCTACCCATCCACACTAACACACACACACCACACTCATAACCCACTGTGCCCTCACTGAATCAGCTTTTCCAGGGCTGGTCAGAAACACAGGCTGGCTCTGCCTTGTGTTCCTTTCTCAACCACTTAGTCTTTCTCCACAGAGTCCAGTCAATTTCTTTTCTCTTCCTCTCCCAAACACCCAGTTCTTGCTCCCTCATCTCATTCTCTCAGGCTGGCCTGGGACCATTTATTTATGTCTCTGCTTGTCTGTAGCTCTGTTTATTATTCTGTGGGATTTTGTTGAGGCTTTTTTTGGAATATCTCTTCCTTTTTTCAATAAAAACTCAAATACAACAACTTTCCAGTACCCATCTCACTCTTTTTTGTACCTATCCAGATGGTACCTTTCTTTTTTCTTGGCCTCAAGTTTTCTCTTTTGAGGAGGTCCAGTTCATATCCTTTAATCATTTGTCAATTACATATATTGGAGAATTCCTTCTTTCAGGTCTTTCAACTTTATTTACGGTGTCATTCATATGAATGGCTTTTCATTTAAAAACATGCTAAAAGTTGTTATTAAATGTTACTAAATATTCTTCCCCTCAATCTCCTGACCTCATGACCTGCCTGCCTCAGCCTCCCATGCTAACAGTAACATGCTTAGTGTTGGGCTGTTGATGGCCAGGCACAGCCCCCAACTATAATCCTAGCACTTTGGGAGGCTGAGGTGGAAGGATTACTTGAGGCCAGGAGTTTGAGATATGCCCCGGTCATACAACTAGCAAGGCCTCTCCTCTCTAGATGGATTAATACCTAAATATGAAAACAATGAAGAAAATCTGGGAGAGGCCAGGTGCTGTGGCTCACTTCTGTAAAAAAAAAAAAAAGTGTGAAGTTGGAAGACACAGGACACTAAGTAATAGGCTGAGCTCTAAGCTCGGTTGTAGAAGACATGAAACTAATATTCCCTGGAAGACATGAAACTAGCTCCCTGTAGTCCGCTGACCCAAGCCATTTTGCCTCTCCAACATTTTTTGTAACATGAATTATTTCTCCAATATCTCCCTTGTTGCAGATTTACCCCCTAAATATAAATACTGAAAAACAATAGCCTAAAATTAGGGAAGTTCTTGAAAAGTTTTGGTAAGGCAGGCTGGGCATGGTGGCTCACATGTAATTCCAGCACTTGGGGAGGCCAAGGTGGGTGGATCACCTGAGGTCAGGAGTTCGAGATCAGCTTGGCCAAAGTGGTAAAACCCTATCTCTACTAAAAATACAAAAAATTAGCCTGGCATGGTGGCACACGACTGTAGTCCTAGCTACTAGGGAGGGTGAGGCAGGAGAATCACTTGAACCCAGAAGGCATCGAGGTTACAGTGAGCTGAGATTCTGCCATTGCACTACAACCTGAGAAATGCAGTGAGATTTCATCTCAAAAAAAAAAAAAGTTTTGGTATGGTAAAGGCTTAATCAGAACTATACTTGGAAAAGATGATCCTGTCATTTGTTACAAATTCAATAAACGGATTGCATGTGGGCCAAAGTGGCAGGAAATAGGAAGGAGTGACTCATTGAGACAGTGGGGATTAAACCATGATTTAATCTAGAAGTATTACCCAATCAGTAGAACTCTTGACAGCTGATTAGTCTGCAATCTCTACATGATATGGGGAAAGTCAAAGCAAGGAATCTGGGTACAAGGTAGAGGGAACGTGCTGTAAACACAGACACGATAGCCTTGGTGAGGATGGACTCTGTGGATAATGATAATGGACTTCTTGTCTTTGAGGTGTGAGTAATCCTTGGTAAAGCTGCCCAACTAAAAACAGGTGAGGGCTGGAGACTGTTTTAGTCATCTGCATGAAGGTACAAATGGAATCTGAAAGGGACTGAAAACACAAAGAAGATAATAAGCAAAACTTATTCTAGGAGGGAAGAAATAAACGGAAAGCTGAGAAAACAAGGAGTTATTTGGAGGGAGGAGGACAAAGAGCGTGGTGTGAGCAAGGACCATAAAGACTAAGAATACACCAGTTGTTACTGTTAATCCCGATACTCAAGGGCACTGTGGTCTACCTGGGAAACGGATTTCCTCACATATTCTGAAATCCATTCTTTAAGACTTTATAGCCCAAGATACTCATGTAAAAAATGAGGAAACAGAACTTTGGCTGGTTCCAGAGTGCCCTCTCTGGAACTGGAACACTCAGCTGCCCCTCGGTTTCCAGTATCTCCACCCACTTGGGCATTACAGGACCCTGTGCTGTTTTCTTCTTCTTTGAAATAAAGACAATAATTTACCGCCTAGGATTGTTTTATGAATTAAATAGAGTGGTTTTTTTTGTTTGTTTGTTTTGTTTTTGAGACAGAGTCTTACTCTGTCACCCAGGCCGGAGTGCAATGGGGTGATCTTGACTCACTGCAATCTCTGCCTCTAGGGTTCAAGCGATTCTCCTGCCTCAGCCTCCCAAGTAGCTGGGATTACAGGTGCACACCACCATGCCCGGCTATAAATGAGTTAATTCTTGTATAGTACTTAGAATAATCCCTTGAACATAGGAGGTGTTCAATAAATACCAGCTGCAGTACAGCAACCCCTGCTTTTACATATATATATGGAGTGTCACTCTGTAGCCCAAGCTGCAGTGCAGTGGGCGCGATCTCAGCTCACTGCAACCTCCACTTCCCAGGTTCAAGAGATTCCTGTCTTAGCCTCCCGAGTAGCTGGGACTACAGGCGCACGCCATCGCACCCAGGTTAAGTTTTTGTACTTTCAGTAGAGACGCGGTTTCACCATGTTGGCCACGCTGGTCTCAAACTCCTGACCTCAAGTGATCCGCCCGCCTCAGCCTCCCACACTGCTGGAATTTATTCCAACATCTCATTCATTCATTCATTTATTCGAAACAGGGTCTCGCTATGTTGCCCGGGATGGTCTCACACTCCTGGGCTCAAGCGATCCTTCCGCCAAACGTGCTGAGATTACAGGGAAACGCCACCTCGGCAGCCCCAATATCTTTATCTTAAACCCAGAAACGTCACAGAGGAGAGTCTCCCCTACAAGAGACCAGCCCGCCAGATCTAAACCCAAGTGTGATTCCAAGGCCCCTTGTACTGGAACCAGACAGGGCACGGGGACCAGACAGGGAGACTTGCTCACAGGGAGCTCCCAACCCGCACCATCCTCACCCTGCGGGGATGGCGAGAGGAGCGCGGCCCCGCCCCGGCCCAGCCTCCGCGCTCGCCTGGGACGCTGTCCAGCCGCGCGCTCCCCGCGAGGTGCTGCAGCCATGGCTACGGCAGTCGGCGCTACGGCCTACTTCCAGAGAGGCAGTCTATTCTGGTTCACAGTCATCACCCTCAGCTTTGGCTACCACACAGTAAGGGCGCCCGCCGGAGGGCCACAGTCGGGCCAGGGAGCGAGCGCTCCGTTCACCGCAGGACCTTGGCCCGCAGGCCGGGGGAGGTCGTGCAAGCACAATCCCGGCTCCCGCGCGTTTGGAGCAGAGGGGAAGGGCCCAGACGCCGGAATGAGACGCAGGCGCACTGGTCCGCCAGGGTCTTGGGCCGGCGCCCGGGCCCTTGAGAAACCGGCTAGTCAGGCTTTTGTTTCTTTTCTTTTTTTTTTTTCTTTTTTTTTTTTTTGAGACGGAGTTTCGCTCTTGTTACCCAGGCTGTAGTGCAATGGCGCGATCTCGGCTCACCGCAACCTCCGCCTCCTGGGTTCAAGCAATTCTCCTGCCTCAGCCTCCCGAGTAGCTGGGGCTACAGGCGCGCGCCACCATGCCCAGCTAATTTTTGTATTTTTAGTAGAGGCGGGGTTTCACCATGTTGGCCAGGATGGTCTTGATCTCTTGACTTAGTAGTGATCCACCCGCCTCGGCCTCCGAAAGTGCTGGGATTATAGGCGTGAGCCACAGCGCCCGGCCCAGGCTTTTCTTATACAGGGGCGGGGACGGCTGGGAAGTTCCCAGCCAACTCTGTGTCTAGGTTTTTCAAAAGGATGGCGAAGTCGAAGGCTAGCAGCG